GATATCTTTTAGGTTAAAATACCAATTTGATCCCTTAATTTTTAGATTTGTACCAAAATTGTGCTTAAACTTCAAAAACATCAAAATTATCCCTAAATTTTAATTTTCAATGCCAAAATAATCCTTCTGTTAACTAAAGTTAGAGATGGTAATTTACCCTGAAACTTGCAAGGCTTCACGGGGATCCCCATCTTGGGGATGGAATTTGGAAAATATTCTTCTCCACAAAGTCGAGATGGAGGCAATTGTTTCCATACAAAATTTTGTGAGAAATTTCTTTCACCTCATAGATTCCTATGAGGATTCATACATAATAAAAAAACATATAAAAATTTATATTTTTATAAAGTATAATATATTTACAAAAAAATAAAATCCAATTAATTTTTACCCAATCCAACCTAAATTTGTATTTTTATAAATTATAATATATTATAAAAATGTAAAACCCAATTTCTCTCAAAATTTTGCTCTTTTTACACTAATTTTTTATGGATTGGTTGGATTGTATGCATTTGTTGGACCATTATATGCATTTTCTTATTTCAAATTTCTACTCTTTATTTATTTATTTATGTAGTACTTTTTATGGTATTTGTGGAATTTTTTGCAAGTTTTTATTTTTATATCCCATGAATTACTCTTTATATAATATTATAAAATTTATTTACTAAAAAAAAGTGTTAAATTTTACAATTTTAATATTTGGGAAAGAATCTACATACTCGTGGAGGCTTATCATTTCCCATGGAAATGAGGATGGAGGCATTTTTTGCTCTTTGCCAAAAAACTCTTTGAGGATCCTTGTACTTACCATTGATGAGAATAGGGATGTGAAGGGGGTCTTTACTTCATGGGAACGTGTTGCCATCCCTAACTGAAATGCCACATAACTAGTTATCTTGTTACAAAATAAATTCTTTTTCAACATATTAATACATATAAAACAAAACAGTCATATTTTGCTATCATGACATATTTTTATTTATAAATTAAATTTACATGTAATTAAAGTTGAATGATCAAATTTGTACTTTTAATCAAGGTCAAAAAACCAAGTTGGTACTTGTTGTCAAAGTTTAAATACTAAGTCGGTACTGAATTAAAGTTTAAGGATTATTTTGGTGTCAAAAATTAAAGTTTAGGGATAATTTTGATTTAAAGTTTAAAGATAATTTTAATATAAATTTAAAAGTTGAGGGACCAAATTGATATT